TTAAAAGAAGATTTTTTAAGTTTTTACTATATGCATATAGGGAAAATCAATGACCCCTGGGGCGGGGCCAATTTTGACCCCAGGGCTTTTATTTGAACAAACTTGGTAGACACTCATTAGAAGATGTTTCATGCCAAATATCTAAGCTCTAGCTCTTAGGGTTGTTTAAAAGAAGATATTTAAAGATTTTTCTTTCGGTTGCCATGGCAACCAGAGTTCTGCATGGAATTAAATTCTTTGAACAATTTTTAAAGGTGACCACCAAAGGAACATTCCTGTGAAGTTTGGATGAAATTGGCTCAGTGGTTTATGAGGAGATGTCATTTAAAGCAAAAGTTTACGGACGGACGGACGGACGGACGACGGACGGACGACGGACGGACGACGGACGGACGGACGCCGGACGAAAAGCGATCACAAAAGCTCACCCTGTCACTTTGTGACAGGTGAGCTAAAAACAGTGCCTTTTTAACATTTTCCAGTATATAATAATAACCTAGCATTACAAAGTCTAGCATTTTCTAATCTGTGTGTTTGTTCCTTATCATAAATAAATTTATTTTTCCTAAAAGTATTTTTATAATTAATATGAGCTTGTACCATTTCTGCCCTTGTTTCATCACATTTATTATTTCTCCAAATATTCAGACATCTACAATATGTTTTTTTAGATCTTTACAATCATTATCATAATATACATTTTTTTTCTTATGTTAGAACTAATGTTATTTGTAACATTTCTTTTAAATAATGGATTACATACATTTTCTAATATATTACATGTATTACAGAAATTTGTCAAAGATTGATCTATTTCATGGCTACTTACAGCATCATCAACAGTTTGACATACATTTACAAATTCATTCATAACACTATTACTACCTAAACTACTAATATACAATTCCTTTTACTGTTTTCCCATTTATAAGTGTAAGGTATATTTGAATAATCAGTTTCAGTTTTATCTTCATTTTCAAATATTTTACAAGATTTTAGATTAAAGTGCACATAGCAATGATCAGACAAAACATTTTGGTCACTTAATTCAAAGTGTGAAATAAATTGCATCAAATCTATTCTACATAAAACATAGTTTATTACACTGCTGCCTTGTGTATTAATGCATGTATATTTACCCACATTATTATCTTCATAACATCTGCCATTTAATATTCTAACACCAGAAGCTTTACAAAACTCTAACAATAACTTTCAAAATTCATTCACAGTTTTAAGACAATATTTCATCTTATATATAATCTTCTGGTAAAAAAACATGTAAAATATGGTAAGATTCTTCAACATAATCTAATCTTTCCCCAACTCTAGCATTATAATCTCCAGTTAAAATAAAATTACATTTATTATTGTACATATTTTCAAAATTCAACAAAGGATAAAATAATTATGGATTTACTAGTCATTAAATATGAGATGTTCACCACTCAATAATGCCTTCAGCTGGCAAATATCACATCTAATTAATGAAATCAGTTCTTCAAAAATACTTATGATGAATATTGTGAATAGTTATATACTAAGGCATCATTAACGACTCTCAAAAGAGCATAAAAATTCTCAATTCAACAGGAAAACTTATTGATCAAAGTGCATTGGTAATGGACATAATACAAATTTGGATGCAATAAAATTCTTATACGAATATTCAAATATTGGATTACATTTGAATGCTCCATACAAATATTCAAATACCAAAACAGCATTTGTTGCCATTCCTACAATAAACTATGAAAGTACTTAAAATTGCACACAAATTTCCAACATTGCTATAATATTAACCCAAGTCCAACAAGAGGTGTATGTAAGACAGCGTGCTTGACTTATCTCAGTGCTGAACAGTAAAACATAATGAACAGTGTAAACTGATAATTATCCAAATGAAAGTAAAGTTCAAATTTTCACTTTATGATGGCTGGATCACTTAAGTCACATTGGCTGTTTTTCTTTTCTTTCCATCTCCATGTTCAGTCTCTTTAAATATTGAACAAATCCATAGCTCTTATGCCCATCAAACTGCTGCTGATGTACAGTTTGCTGAAGGAACCCAAGCACCTGTGTGTACATACATATTTCATTCATAGTAGCATATTAGCATAAGAAGTTAAGCAATTGCAGAAATCCCTATTCATTAAACATGGTAAAGATTCAAATTTTGGGGAAAAAAGTTTTTGAAATTGTGATTAAGAACACAAAATCACATAAAACTGGAAAACTCGCGGTAGCATTCTTTTTCTGAAAGGACAATGTTAGTGTGGATATTTATTTTATTAGATAGATCAATTGGATTCTTTCCCTTAAATAAAGTTTTGATTCATAACTCGCAAAGGAGATCTTAGTGCACTGAAACTGACATCAACAAAAACAAGCATAAAAGTCTGATAGGCGAATCACATACACATGGACAAGTCAATGCAATTTTATGAAGGATGTTTGAAGCACTCTTCACCAGTGGTGTTAACAGTGCAAAATGTCATTTTATAATATGATGCCAGTGACTCCATTTTTCAATGAGCATGTGCATCAACCAAAATTTTGTGACTTATTATTACAATATTACATAATTGATCAATAGAAATTTAGCATTTAAAACAGATTAATAATAATAATTAAAATTTGTTGAAACCAACCTGTGAATATGCCTTTGGATAATCTAGGTCTGCAAGGTAATACAAACCAATCAACACAGCTATGGCCAAAAATTTGAAGTTGATGGTGTGTGTGTGTCTCACCTCCTGCCTAAAATGAACAATTTAATAGCAAAAGAACTTTTATTGTAAAAATGTTATAAATGTTTTTTTAATCCAACTAGAAAATTTTATCTTTCTGTTTTGATAATCACCACTGACCAGTTCATCCATGGTCTGACCATGAGTGATAAATTATATGATTTTGTAAGACATTTTTTATTATGCGCAATAGTGCCACATTTACTAAACTCAGTATTTTAATAACGAATACCTGATGGCAGATTTTAAGTTGAGGTCAGTGGTTGTTACCAAACTTTTAGATTGTATAAAGATAAAATAAGTATGTATGGATGATTTTAGTACATTTATAAGGAGACAACCATTTAGGGTTTAGTAAAGTAATGAGATTTTATTCTTCCATTTTAATATTAACAAACCCTAATGTAATTACTCATACAGTTATGTTGTAGGTATAAATATTAGTACATTTTAATTATATTAAGTATAACATTCAATGCTTGGAATATGCTGTTTTACTTATAAATGTCTTAGAGATATTATGATGTGTTTATATTAACATGTAAATGGGTATAATTATGTAAATAAGGGAGGTAAATCTACAGTATATATTATAGATCTCTGTAATGTGGACTGTGGAGTTACCCCTCTTATAAACTAGAACAGTCTGTTATAATTCTTAAAAGAATGGCTGTACAATTTACTGTATGTATATTGTTTTAATTGTATATGTATGTATAGATCAGACTATAATAAAGAATAAATAATGGCCTCTATTGAATCATCTGTCTCTAGAAGAATGTGTGTACCATCACAAACAATAGCCATGTTCACAATATGTTCATCTTTCTCAATTGCAACCAACTTTGGTGCCGACTCTGGTGCAGAAGAAAGAAGTCTCCCAAAATTACCATCATCTTCAAGCTGAAACAAATATTGATAATTTTTATACATCAGATTTTTAAAACAGGAGCCGGTTGAACCGGATAGGTTTTGGACACAGGAAGGTATACCTCTAGTAGTGTCAGAGTTATGTCACAGACAAAGTTAAAAGTGTAAAAACAAGCCAAATGTTGCGTGCGACAAGTTGTCTCAATATGGTGATCATTTCTGTGAAATAGTTTTAAAATCCGACTTCAAATAACAAAGTTATGGGCCGGACACGAATCGGGACGTACATACGGATGGACTGACAGACGGACGGACCGACAACCCGACGACTAAATGCTCCCCCGAAATTTTTCGGGGAGCATTAAAAAAACTGTTAGCATTTGTATAAACCTTAGAGATCATTCAATGTTAAAAGCATTTTTTTAGTGTTATCATCAAGTGACAACTACCATGGAAATTATTTATTCTTTGTTAGAATAGTTTACCTACATAAATCTGTTTTGAAATAAAACTCGCATTAATTACCGTATTTATCAGACAAGTGTGCATGCCAAATATGACATGCTGATAATTATGGAAATAAGTATTAAGGTATACTCCCTACAAATTTATAGGGGTGTAACAATACAGCAAAAACCGTATTGCAATATATTGCCATTTTGCTGAAGCGTATTGCAATACGTATTGTCGTGTATATGTTTTGATGTAAAGATGGAGTAACATTTATATATTATTATTAATATTATTATATGTATATATTTTTAGTAGAAATTAAAGTAGAAATGTAAGGAATAAAAAGAAAGTAGTGTCACACAATTTGATAGACAAAACTAGTCGCGTGTGACCTTTCACATCTGGGCCGCTTATGTAAATTATGCGGCCGCTTATTGACTTTTAAGTGTACTAGTTGTCGGATACTTTTATCTTACGGTTGGCGCCAACAAAATTTGCCAATTAAAGATTTTATGTGAAATTTGTACAAAATTAGAAGGCAATTAATTGAAAATTATGATTTTTATAAAATACCGGTTTTCCAAAAATCGTACCGCGGTTCGAAATTTATTTTTTCATATTGCAATCTATCGGTATACCGGTAAACCGTTACACCCTTACAAATTTATGATGTAAAATATGTCCACAGATGTACAGACATGTCAATCATTGAATCACAGCTGGTCACATAAAAAAGAAGTTTTAGGACATTAAAAGATTTGAATATCTAACACCTTTACCTTAATTATTTGCATCAAAGGCTTAGTCTTCTGGCCCTTTCCTTTTCTGTAAGCTGTTTCTGATTCTAAAGCCTTCAGCACTGCCACTTTAGAGTCATCCTGAAAGCCAAATTATGAGCAGACTAACAGAAAGGTGCAAAACTTCAGATGACAGTGTTCTCCAGAATTAACCCTTTCACTGCCATAGGGACGGCATATGCCGTCCCTATTATTTTCTGCGTATTTGCCATATGGACGGCTTTTGCCGTTCTATAATAATAATAATTATAATAATAATCATAATAAATATATAGATAATTATACCATCGACAAAAATTATTATTATACTAGCAGATTTGGAAACATATATAATTATTATAACAGGGTTCTCGGGGACGCTTATTCCGGCGTCCAGGTACGCATGTTTTTTTTATATAATACTAATAATAATATGAATTAATAATATAGTAATTTCTTAGAAAACCTTCTGATAGATATCAATAAATAAATAACCCTCTGACAGCGAAAGGGTTAAACTATGTAGTGTTTTTCATAAATCAGTTTGCAAAATGGTGGCTTTTGTTGCCTTTTAAAGGTTATTTAGATAATTATTAGGAAAGAATTGATTAAAACACAGTTTCACCATTTGCTTTATAATGTAACTGAACAACTTAATATAAAGTCTTCAGTTTATTGTGAATTTAGCTTACATGTTGTACCTGTACTATATTTTTGCTCATCAATCTAGACACTGCACTGAACACATCTTCAAATCTCTTCACAACTGGCACAAGACTTTTGATTTTAAGTATATACCTGAATTCTGCCATAATCTTTAAAAGAGAAAAGAAATTGATTATATTATATTTTTGAACATGAAACCAATTTTTTAGGATCAGCCAGACTTTTCAACCAAATGTGAAAGACAATGGTCTGTTTATAATAATTACATTAATTTACCAATATAAATTTACTAAGATACTGAGGAAAGGGGGATAACATATAGCAAAGATGCAAAGCGAAACAAGCTGTAACTAAGATATAAACATCCCATTGGTCCTACTTGAAGGATCTCAATCTTAATACATGATACAAGCAGATGCCCCTGCAGGTGTTGACACAAGATTTGGAATTTGACTTTCCCTTAGTATTCAAATGGCCTCTTTTTTTAAAAGCAGCAACCCAAGATTGAACACTGTAATCTGATCTTTGGACATAGCATGTTCTTAAGCCATGAATTTTACATGAAGCAAGATGGAAAGATAATAACCTTGTTTATCTATGTAACCGGGGATAAATGATTGAAGACTTGCTTCTATTTCATCATTTTATTGTCGGACATACAAAAACGAGCCTACAAACAAAATACAAAGGAATTACAAATAATTGATTTACAAAATAATAAAATTACACATTTCATCCAATTCATCAATGGAAAAGAATAAATATGACATTAGAAATATATAAATTCTTACCAGGATCAGCATACAAGAACTTTCCATAAATGATGTTCAAGTTTACTATAATAAGTAACTACTACTATCAACAACTATACTGTAAAGTAAGTTATCAGTTACTCGTATAATGTGGAACTGGCGAAGGGAAATATTTTACTTAAGCAAGAAAATGTTTCGCGGGGATTTTAGGGTCATGCACGTGAAATATTAGTGAACACATTCATACAACCTTTCAACTTACAGTGACCTCTCATACGAAACAGACTATACAAAACATTACCACAGTTAGGCAAACAAACGACGACGATACAACAGTTAGGCGAATACCAACCAAATACAACATAACACGGAGGATACAATATACCAGTGATAAACAGAAAACGATACACAGGTTACACATTCCCTCCCTTTAAGGAAATGGCTCCTGACATTTCCATAACTCAATTATATTCGAGTTTCAAATAAAAACATCAGGACATAATCATCTTCAATAAATCATATGTGTATAATAATACACAACAATTATGTCTTTTTTTTGTCTTTATGAAATGACAAATATAAATCTATTGATATCTTTTTAATGAATTTTCAATTGTAATGTGAAATTAATAAGTTAATTTCTTTAATTGAAATTGGTTCATATATATGATTCAGCTCTATATTCAAATAAATCTATTTACAAATATTTACAATAGATAGACAAAGTTGCATCACAGTACACTGGTACTAGTATGCAATAATAAATCCGTCATCCTCTCTAATACTTCAAGATCAACTTCTCCACATACAAACAACAACTTGTTCACCTATGGCAGATGTGGAGACAATTTTTTTTTTATTTATTTTTTTTTTTTATTTATATTTTTTTTAAAACTGTATAAACACATGAAAACATATATGATTTGTTCAGACATAGTTCCTAGTTATTTCTAAAATAGAAACATTGATAAATAAGGTTTACTGACCTTAATTTCTGTGAAGAAATTAATTAAGTAAATTCAAAATTTTACATTATATAATAATATATGATAATCATACAAATACTTCCAAATCTTGGCTAGGATTTGTTACAATAGGGGTTACCCATTCACCGTATCTCTGCGGTGGGACTCTGCGCCTTACAGGACGAGGACTTGGAGGTGGAGGTTCAGGGTCAGGTACTGGGGTGGAGCCAACTTCCTGATCACTTACCAAATTAGTCTCAGTCGCTGATTGGGGTGATAAACCATCAATTCTTGAAAAATGGTCAGATAGAGTAATGGTCTCTGCAGAGGGGTCACTCTGAAATGATTCCAGAGCCTTTGAAGGTTCTGGGGTCACAGACACAGTATGTTTAGACCTACTGGACTGTTCTTTAGGACGTTTCTGAGATCTTAGTGGTGGAGGTAGGTATAATGTTTCGGTATTATCTGAATCGGAATCAGTGGAATCCTCGATTTCAGTGGACAGAGTATCGGCTGTCGACCTGAACTTATTAGGAGGTCTCTTGCGAGAGCTGCTTTCTGGTCTAGGTTTGATACTCTCCTGTTCCAGAAGTTGAGTAAAAGGATAGGGAAGTAACATATTCCGGTGTGAGTCTTAATTGGGCCCTTCTTGTTTTCTTGCTGAACTCTATACACGGGAATGTCAGGATTAGGTATAGAAAGGACTATATAAAATTTCCTCATCCCAACGATCTGACAACTTGTTAGTCCCTTTCACACTCCAACTTTCCGAATCAGTACCTTATCTCCAACATCAAGTCGAGTATGCCTCACTTTCTGATCATATATGGTCTTGTTTTTGGCAGCCATCCTACCAGCTTCTTCTGCAGCCCTGCGGTATGCTATCTGCAATCTCCGATGGAGTTTTGATGCATAAGAGGACTGATTCCCTGTGTGCTCTTCTGAAGGATCTGTGCCAAGATAAGCATCTACAGGAAGCCGTGGGTGCCAACCAAACATCAGAAAGTGAGGGGCATATCCGGTTGCATCATTTTTGGTGGCATTGTATGCCTGAACCAATGGACCTATGTATGCCTTCCAGTCATACTTCTGGTGGTTTTCAAGGGTTCCAAGCATTTTCAGGAGTGTTTGGTTCCAACGTTCAGCACCTCCATTTCCATGGCGTGATATGGAGTAGTTCTGGACTTCTTAATGCCAGCAATCTTGCATAACTCCTGAATGGTGCGACTTAAAAAGTTGCGACCTTGGTCACTATGCAATTGCTCTGGGAACCCGTAGTATCGAAAATACCCTTCATAGAGTGCCTTCGCTGTGGTAGCTGCAGTCTGGTTCCTGCATGGAATAGCCTGTGCGAAACGTGTAAATGGTCCACTATTACAAGGATATTTTCAATACCACCTTTACTGGGCTCAAGCTTTAAGAAGTCTATGGAAACCAATTCCATTGGTCTGGTAGTATGGATAGGTTTCAGTTCGGCGAAAGGCTTGTTACATGGCGTCTTACGCTTGATACAGCGATCGCATCTCTCAACCCAACTGAAAATGTCCTTTTCATACCAGGCCAGTAAAACCTTTGTCTACCAAGCCACAATGTCTTCTCTTTGCCCTGATGCCCGGCATCATTATGAATACCTTTCATGGCGATGTTCCTATGTGATTCAGGGATGACAAGCTGTTTGACTTGTTGACCATCCAATGTAGCGGTTCTGTACAGAATATTATTTTGTATGAAAAGCCGATTTGCTTCTCTAATGTACTTCTGTACAGCAGGTTGCTTAATACTGGTATCTTTCCCCCTGGGCAGGGAACCGCTACGTAGGAAGTTCATTACAAGACTCAAAGTACTATCATTGGACTGCTCATTAAACCAATTGATGTTTGCAATTGAATCAGCTACATCAGCCTCTTCAGTGGCCATCTGAAGGGCTGCTGCACCTGAAGTACAGTTGATGATAGGAGCAGAAATAATAACTGCTTGGTAGATAGCCTTAAGCTCATCCTGAAAAATATGTCGTCTGGATAGGCCATCAGCATCCATGTTATGCTTACCACTACGATATTCCATAGTAAAGTTGTAGTTGGCTAAGTCTGCAAGCCATCTATGTTGTGTGGCATCTAGCTTAGCTGTGGTAGTCACATAGGTTAAAGGATTGTTGTCAGTTTTAACAACAAATTCATTTCCATATAAATAATCATGGAATTTATCTGTAATGCTCCATTTAAGGGCTAGAAATTCTAGTTTATGGGCGGGGTAGTTACGCTCACTTGGTCTGAGGCTACGACTTGCGTATGCAATTACGCGTTCCTTACCATCTTGTTCCTGTAAAAGGACTGAACCAAGACCATGGGTACTTGCATCCGTGTGCATGATAAATGGCAAGGAGTAATCAGCATAACCTAATATTGGTGGAGAAACTAACTTTTTCTTAATTAACTCAAAGGCCTTTTGTTGTGCTCCACCCCAGACCCACTTAACTGGTGTTTTAGCCTTTTTCTTAGACCCCTTTGATCGTTTGTTGTCACCATGACCTTGTAAAAGTTCATTTAAGGGTTGTACTATTTGGGCATAGTTTGGGACATATTTACGATAGTACCCTGTAAATCCAAGGAATTGTCTAAGAGTTTTTTATTTTATAGGGACAGGCCAATCTTGTACAGCTGAAAGCTTATTTGGGTCTGTGGCAATACCATTGGCAGAAACAACATGCCCTAAATATGTAACTGAAGACTTGAAAAATTCACACTTGGAAGGCTTGACACGCAAATTATGATCACTGAGTCGTTGAAAGACAGACTCTAACCTGGAAATATGTTCCTCAAAAGTGGAAGAAAATATTAAAATGTCATCTAAAAAAATTAAACATTCTTTGAGATGCATATCACCCATAACATTTTTCCATGCAACGCTGAAAGGTAGCGGGGGCATTTGTCAAACCAAATCCCATTTTATTCCACTCATAGAAACCTAAGTTTCCTACAGAGAAAGCAGTTTTAGGCTTATCACATTCTGCTAAACCAATTTGCCAGTATGCAGAATGAAGGTCTATTTTAGAAAAATACTTTGAACCAGATAAGACATCAATAGTGTCGTCAAAGCGTGGTAACATGTATGCATCTTTGCGTGTTCTGTTGTTTAACTTACGCCAATCAACACAAAATCTAAGGGCACCTGTAGGTTTTCTCACAAGAACAACATTTGAGGAAAAAGGCGAATTAGATTCCCTTATAATATTGGCATCTAACATTTCTCTGATGTGCTGCCTAACTTCCTCATATAAAGCTGGAGGTATTCTGCGATATGGTTCCTTGAAAGGAGTTTCATCTTCCAATTCTATATGATGTTCAATCAAATCAGTGGTTTGGATTTCTTTAGTAGATGTACAAAAAATGCCCTTCCATTTACCAAGAACCTGATAAAATCTTAAAGTTTGTTCTGGTGTTAGATTGGAAGAATCAACTGAAATGTCCTTAATTGGAGGTTCTGAAGGAACATCAGGAGAAATATAAGAAGAAATATCATCTATCACTTTAGCTTCTGTAATAGTACAGATTTCTGACTTGGGTTTGATAGTCAATATTTTAGCAGTCATGTTACAAACCTTGACTGATATTTTTGCAGAAACAGCATTATGTGTTTTGATGACACGTGGACAAACTGTATACCCTTTAAAGATTTCAGGACTTTCAGTAACTACAGAACATATAGACTGATCAAGATTCCTAGCAATGCCATTAAGTGTGATACTCTCAAATGGAGGTATTTTTACACTTTTCTTTCCACACACCTTTACAGGGTAAGTATGAGAGTCAATACTATCCATAGCCATTTGCCACTGTTCAGGAATAGATAATTCCTCAGGTACTTCCTTCACAAACATTTTACAACGGCGAAGTACATTTGTTCCAATAATTATTGGACAAGAAATATTAAAATCTGTCTGGTATTACCAGAATAGGAATGTCAAGGTTAAAAGAAGATAAAAATGGAACACATACAGTTGCTTCAATATAACCTGAATATTTCAATGAAGAACCATCTGCAATAGAGAGAGTAAGTCCAAGTGAATCTAAAGCTTTTAAAGTAGCCTTAGGATTTAAAGTCTCAAATGCAGACTGACTAATGGTAGAAACCATAGAACCTGAATCAAGCAGACATTTGAAGGTATTTCCATTTACAATAACACTGTGTTCATTTGCAGGTCCAATAAGATTCTCTACAATTGAACTATGTTGAGTCCTACTTGATTTATTTACAAATGATTTGGGCTCAGTGACACTAAGATTACCAACCTCTATTCTGCCCGCAACAGAGGCGGTTATCAGTTTGATTGGTTCGAATCCCGAGGGTTATATCTACCATGACCTCTGCCTCTACCTCTAGAATAAGATCTAGAACTAAAATTTGTGTTGTTATTGTTGGTGTTGCTTGTGTTTGTGTGAGAATTACTGTTTTTGTTGTTGTTACTGTTATTGTTGTTGCTGCTGTTGTTGTTGTTGTACCTGCTTTTGTTATTTGTGTTGGTTACAAAATTATTGTGTGAACTTGACCTGAAATTAGAACTTCGATTTTCTAATTTCTGAAGTATCAAGTTAAATTTGGAATCTATATTTGCTTCAATAGTATCTTTAAAAGATGAAAGTTTAGATTCCATATTGGTTATTTTAGAATCCAACTTATTTTCTAAAGCAGACAGTTGTTGCTCAAAAGAAGATTCAGCAGACAATGGTGTATTGTTTTATTGTATGCTTAGTTGATGGGACAGAAGACATTTGGGTAGGATTAATAGAAGTCTCTTTTTCTACTTTCCTTATCTCTCGAACTAACAAATTGTAGTCATCAAGAGAGTCATACTTATGCCTAGTCTGAAATTTCAGCATATCAGAACATAAACCTGTCCAAAATTTATGACGCAAAATGTCATTCCTTGCTAAGCCTGGGAGTTGACCTTTGTCAATAATAGACTGTAAAAGGGTTTCTAACCTACATGCATATGTAGTTACCGACTCATTGGGATTTTGTCTACTATTAAAGAATTGAGTCAACAAATCTTCCTTAGTTGAAGCCTCTGAAAACATAACATCAAGTTTACCTAATATTTCTTTAACAGTTGCATTTTGACCTAATGGTACTGTCATGATCCTAGCTGTACCCCTTAATGATCCCCTAATAATCTGGAGAACAGTAGACCTTGTTAAATCCGGATTTGTCGACAGACATTGTACTTCATATCGCCAAACAACATATGGAACTTCACCCTTAGGTAAAGGTTCATCTCCTGAAAAACAAGGAATCTTGGGAATGACTGAATGGGGCATTGTTACCTGATTGGGAACAGACAAAGAGGGACCAGGCGTAGAAGCCATAAATTGATTTGCAAATCCAGATCCAGCCATAGATCCAGTTGCTAATGGGTTTACCAAGACTCAAATTTGGCAAAAGAATAGGAGGAGGAATACTAACCGAAACCTTAGGTTTTGTACCTGTATTGGCAAATAATGGTGCCCCTGTACCAGAAATATCAAATGGCACAGTTGGTATGGTAGATGTGGACGGAATAGTATCCTTAATATGTGGGGGCTTAGTCTTGGGTATAAGCATATATCTGTCCTCAATGAATTTCAAAATTTCCTCCATATCTGGCTGAGGAGAAGTGCTATCCAAGCTAGATTTATTTCCTTCTTCAGACATGTTATTGAATCAAATCCACTTTTTTAGTATCAGTAGACTATAAAGTATCTTAAAATATACAGCACTATGCTATCAAATAGTAATCACAGCTTTATGTAATTACAGCTATGTACTAATATCAATATAACACTCTGCTATAAATAATGAACTCATGTATATATGGGTCAATATTGGATAATATAGGGCAAACTTCCAAATTAAAAAAAATCAATATATTTAAAACACAAAAAAAATAATTGTTTTTTTTTTTACACTATTTTGGTATTCAAACTATTTCCTGTTATTATTACACCCTTTTTTATTTTTAAACCTTAATTTCCAACTTTTATATCAATCATACTCCAAATATTGTCACATCAAAATAAAGAATTGTCTTAGAACTAGATCAACATAGCGTGGGAAAATATTTGTAACATACGTCATTTTTTTTTTCTACAAACTAGGTCAATTGATCTATTCAATACCTGTATCTATAGTCCGTTTTACACAAACGGTCAGTCAAAAACACGATCAAATAAACCGACTCCGACAAAAATTAAACCAAACACGATATTTTTCTCGGTTACCATTTCAATCTTTTCATTCATACCGTGAGTGCATTTATTGTATTAGTATGGAAGTGGTTTGGGAGAGAGTTTGGGAAAAATTGGACACGGACTAAGTTCATCTAATACAAATCATTGGTTACTGTTTGTTGACCACCAGAACAAATCAACTTTGCTTAAATTCTATGCTAAACGGTTTCTAAACCATGATATGTACACAAACACAAAATTCAACACAAACATCTATATGTACAGACAATATTTGTTACAACTGTATAAAAAAATACTTATTACTTGCGCAATATAGATCTATTCACTCAAAAATATAATGTGTACTAGATATTGTAAACGAACCTAACTTTCTGTTCGTCAATTTAAAACTATAAAACTTTACTGTTAAATGATATATGTAAGTTTATCATATGATAAAAAAGAAATAGCAAAAATTTAATATAGATGTCAAGAAAACAAGCAAAAAAAAATATTCGTAGGAAAGAAAAATATTCTTATATCAAAAATTTACATGTACTGTACTGAAACGAATAATGCCTAACTGAAGATAGCCTAACTTTGATGTAAATAAACTGTTCAGTATACAAGTAGATTCTAATAATTCAACTACCGAAGTGACCAAAATAATTATATAGAAAGAGTACTTACATTACATCCTTAATCCAATAAAATATATACACTTTTCACTATAAAACACATACATGTACAAATACACAAAATAAAGTCACACACACACACTAAAGTTCCTGCACGTGCATAGTCGAATATGTCGTCCTCCGCGATGAAAATAGTTCCACGGTGATCCTTTCTTGATTACATATAGGGCTAGAAAACGTAAGTTTTCTACAGTTTATAGACTTTTTGGGCTTTATAAAATGGAATGTAATCATTATAATGGGTAAAGAGCTCTTTAAAAGGGGACGGGGGAATATACCATTATGATGCGTAGAGTTGTACCGGTACGTGCCAACGTCACAACATCCGTCTATCTCCAACTTGAAAAGCTGTTAAGTTTTCTCGGCTGGGGCGTACCTGGAGCGGTTGTGAAAGACTGTCCATCGACCCTAGCTCGTATGTAGTTCATCGTCGGGGAGCCATTTGTAACCGGGGATAAATGATTGAAGACTTGCTTCTATTTCATCATTTTATTGTCGGACATACAAAAACGAGCCTACAAACAAAATACAAAGGAATTACAAATAATTGATTTACAAAATAATAAAATTACACATTTCATCCAATTCATCAATGGAAAAGAATAAATATGACATTAGAAATATATAAATTCTTACCAGGATCAGCATACAAGAACTTTCCATAAATGATGTTCAAGTTTACTATAATAAGTAACTACTACTATCAACAACTATACTGTAAAGTAAGTTATCAGTTACTCGTATAATGTGGAACTGGCGAAGGGAAATATTTTACTTAAGCAAGAAAATGTTTCGCGGGGATTTTAGGGTCATGCACGTGAAATATTAGTGAACACATTCATACAACCTTTCAACTTACAGTGACCTCTCATACGAAACAGACTATACAAAACATTACCACAGTTAGGCAAACAAACGACGACGATACAACAGTTAGGCGAATACCAACCAAATACAACATAACACGGAGGATACAATATACCAGTGATAAACAGAAAACGATACACAGGTTACATCTATATGAATGTTATTAAGATTTTCAGGGTAAATAATTTAATGCAGAACAACTTACATAGACAGGGTCTTTGAAGCATGGAAACTTGTCCAAAATTGGTTTTACACTCCCTTGAGGCAATTGTTGTATCCATTGTCTCCTGCGGTTGAAAGTCCCTTTCAGTAGAGTTTGCATATGGGTAATTTTAGGTTCCTTTTTTTCCACTTCCTGCACCATTTGCTTTACATGACTCAAATATGTTTCTTCGTCACATTCCTCTGACACATCTAATGTTCCAACTCTAAACCGTTTGGGTGAAGGCATTTTTGTTTCTGCCTTGGTGTTAGTTGTTACACTTCTCCTTTTGTTGTCCCACCTGATGCGTCTTATTTTTTGAGACAGCCATTTTGTGAAGAAACTCTGGAATAAGAACAATGAACAAATGATATTACTAAATCTCTTAAGACAGACCACTAAAAAATTTTATACAAAGAAATGATAAAAAAAAAATGTTTTAATGTTTACTTAAAAAACGCATTTACCTTTTTCAATAAGCCATGTAATCATGTTAATAAGGTGTGAAAAGGCACTAACTACACTATAGATTTTGTAAAACCATAAATCTTAGTCTTATAGAAATGTGGCTAACAATTTTGTGTTTTTGCAGCATGTAGGCTTTTCCTGCCACATGTCCAGATATTATTGACAATTCATTAGTCACAAGGTTGTAACATGTGTAAATTCAAACATAAACACTAATTTATTTTATGCTTTTCAATAGATTACTGAAATATCTGTGAAAAGTATATCTGATATTTTCACTGTGAAAAATATCAAAATATATTTTCATTCTTTTGGAAAAGGAACTTCTTTTACTTATAAAACCCCCTTTGTGTGTCTCAATTAACCAACTTGCCATCTCATGACTTATGACACTGACGTCCTTCCCTGCATTTTAACATATGTTATAACCAAACATGAATGGATTATTATCAAGACTAGTAAGTAAATAATTAATTAACATTCTATGTAAATATGTTATTTTCATCATCATTATACATTCAATATATAATTATAAAGAAGGGTTAATTTAATTGCAGGTGTTTAAATATTTGTTTTTGGTAAAAAGTACATGGACACTTCTTTAGTGTATGAGTAGTTAGTGTATGAGTAAAATTACATAGACAGTTCTACAGACATTATATGGGGCTGCCAGTGGGGGAGGCAAATTTTATTGATATAAACTTTTAATTTGCAAACTGTTTTTTATATATATATGCATATCTTATTATGTAACTGTGATCTATGTTGTTGCAAAAAAATAAAACAAAAAAATAATAAATTTTTGTGTAAGATGTGAGAATATTGTTTTAAAGCTCACTCGATGAAATAAAATTTCATCTTACACAAAAACATACATAAATATATCCTCTAATGTTGTATTGCCTTATGAGAAACATAATACATATGCATCTATATTCATTAATCTGGAAACATCATACCGGTAACCATCTTTCTATCCTACTTCAAATAATGAATCAGCTCCCATATGACAAAACTTTACCACTTACACAACGAAAAGTACCTTCACAAAGTCATAAGATTAAAAAAGATTTGAATGCAAAAAAAAGAAAGAAGCAACAAAGCATAATGAGAATATGATTACCCATGGTTGAGTTCCATCACGTGCAATGGCTGGATAGGCATCATACATATTCCGTCCAATTTCTCTGTAATCACCAGAACTGTTGTCAAGGCCTATCCGAGGTAAATGAGCTAAGTAATAGTATGCACATTCTTGTATGAGCTTTGTCCATACCAGATGACTCTCCTGTGCCAACAGCTTTTGTTTGATGTATTCACATAAGTTGGGCAGTTGAGATGATGGCTTCCTGTCAATCAGGTTTTGACTTTGGTTGACCATTTCAATTTGACTTGGATGTACGGAAGTTCCCGCTGATTGATCTAAAAGTGAAAATAAACCCTTTGTTAACAAAGAAAAGAAGTATTTAATTTTACATACTTTCTTCAAAATTCTGCCAATCATGTCCATCTTTCAAAGTTATAATGGCTATCAAATTTTCACTATTTACTTATGTAGTTGCTAGTGTTTCCTGTACACTCAATAATTAACTTTTTTTATGACAACCTAGGCTTATCATTCAAATTATCTGTAGAACAAGTGAAAACATTATTTCAGTTTTACATTTGTTTATTAACTGTAAGAGATCATTTCAGTAAGTAGGCTTTTGTCAACAAGTGTGTCATGTTCAAAACATCAAAATGTATTGTAAACCTTAAAATTTACAATCTTATAAACCAGTTACATCATAATCCTTCAGTTTTTCGATTTCTTCTATTAATCAAATTGTACATCAATATTGAATTTCAGAAAAGAATATTACTTCAATCTATTTTACTTTCATTAACGTCAACTAAAATTACCCTGCGTCTCCCTGGTTTCCTTTTGTTCTTCAGCATGTATGGTTAAAACAGTAGGTGTCTCTTCCCACTGCTGACTGAGTTCAAGAACCATTATAGCATCATCTTTGGGAAGCAGGGATAAAACTTCATCATCTTCAATATCAGTGCCATCACTTTGTAGCACTGCTCTGACCTCACCATTCAAGGCCAGTTTAACTGCAGCTTTAAAGAAATCGAAAGCAAGTTAAAATATTCAGACAAAACATTACAATTCATTGTCAGTTAAAATTTTTATTGAAAATTTATCATATTTCAACTATACTGTAAATTACATGTAGATTTTTCTTAAGGAGGTTCATTTTGAAATGAATGGGACTTATTTGGTGACAAAATCCAGTTGGTTCAACAATCTCCATATGTCTTGTTAAATTAATAACCACTGAATGTGACTAAACTTCAATATGTACTGCCCTTATTCAAAAATTGTACATTTCCATAACAATATTAAGCTCATTGTATTTTTCAAATACATTCAAACCCAAAAGTGCTATGCAAATCATGTAAACTTATGCAAATATAAATAAACAAATTTTACCTTTTTGCAACAACTCTTCTAGCGATCCAGCCACAACCAATTTTTTAATTATCCTACTGTGGTTCCAAACCTTAAACAGCCGATTAGACATTTTATCTTTTCAATGCTTTGTTTTAACTACATTGGAAATGAAACACAATGTCAAATTCTACAGACAGCAAGAGGTTGAATACAGATAACTTCTTAACCCACAGAGGTCTATAAAGTTTTTTTTAGGAAGTGATTGCTGCCAGCTTTCAAAGTCAGGCTGTAATAAAGATTAAGATATATAGAGGATATTTGTTTAGTTCGGTGTAAGATCGTAATATATTTCACCGAGTGAGCACCAAAATGTATATTTCACAAGTGGCGCAGCCACAAGTGAAATATAAACTTTTGGTGTTCACAAGGTGAAATATATTTCGATCTTACACTAAACTAAACAAATTTTCTTTTTATCATATGCAAAGAAACGTTTTAAAAAGACATTAAACCTAATAATGAATGAAAAGCGCGCCAAATAATAATACAACTTGACGTCATTTACGACGTCACATCATTAAGTTCACTCAGTTCTGTGAAAGCTGGTATTTCACTGAAACAACGTAAGGGGCTTAAATTCAAAACAGTGAAATTATCAAAGTGGTAATTTCACTGTTTCAAACAGTGAAATTACCAGTTTTATATCACTGATATATTTCTATAAACCACCGAAAAGCATGTAATAAATACAAGATACATTCTTGAAGACTGGACTTCAAAAACAAGCAGTAAAATGCAAATTCAAGCTAATCGGACTGTAATTACACAATTATCTATACTATTGCTTTTATATGGAAAATATACACATGACCAACAATCTTTATTTGGTCATAATGCAAAACTGTTTTGCACTTATGTTATACATTTTTTTTGCTCTGTATCAACATCTCGCCTACCTCTCCTGGGCACTGCCATATTGGAAGTGTATTACAATTTTTTATGCATCACGAGAATTAGTATTTACATACACTAGTCACTACCATCCTAAAACCGCTACAAGAATTACCGAAACACCGCCAAATGTGTTTGAAGTAATGGTCAGCAGAAAAAATGACAGATATGAGGCCAAAGTTGGGAATCTTCCATATAAATTGGCAGTTATCATATTTGCTATTCTAAACAATACTTCAGCTTTATTTGAATAAATATCTAATTTAAGGCATGGGCTGTTTCACAAAATTGTGAAAAAATGTCGCTGACTACATTACTGAGAAAGTACAAGTTTAACATTTTGTAATCATAATTTTTGCAAAGAAACAAAGACAGAAATCAGAATAGTACAGCATACCAATAATGGTTCTCACTCAAATAATAAATAATTGTGAGACAAGATTCCAGAGATTATAATTTTAAACAAATTATTTTACTGAAACATACATTGTACTTGTATACTTGATAACAAAAATGCAATTTAAATATTATTAGCCTGTATGTTATCAAAATGTTATAATAAAAAATGATATTCAAGTATCATTAAATGTGAAAAAGCTGTCACTTGTTTGGGGCCAGTGGTATGGCTGTCACGATATAACAGTTTATTACCCTTCCAGATTTTTTCCGCCTTTTGGATTGGATATTGATCACCCGAAAGAAATTGATATAACCGAGCCAGACGGGTAATAATACACACTAAATTTCCCCGTTTGATACCCAACGTTGTAAACAACATGCGCTGAGGTGATGCGCGTACGGTTCGATTTTACGTGGTGTAAATTCCGATTTAAAAGCACTTTTTAACTGTCAAATGATCAATATTTACCAAAGTAGAGTAATGATACATATTACCATCAGTATCGAAAACAAATATGATCTTGTGAAAGCTTGATATTAATTACAAAAAAGTGCGTTCAATAGACTACTCCTTTTCTCTTGTTTACTTTCGTAAGGTACGGGAAAAATATGTCATGTATTTATGTGACGTCATGTTATGACCAAGAGGTATCCTAAAGGGAATCTTATTTCGACGTTTCATTTGAAACAGCAATGATTTTTTAAAAAAATCGTCTAAACTCGGCAGGGGAAGGGTAACAAAATTATTATTTTGGTTTTGGAGTGATATATGTGGATATATTACCTGCCAAGATAAAATATCACCCTCGCCTATCGGCTCGGGTGATATAAAATCTTAACAGGTAATATATCCACATATATCACTCCAAAACCAAAATAACATGTAATATTGTGACGTGCTGTCGAAAATATAATATACTGATACAGAATCAAGGTACCTTTTTTTCAATATTTTCTTCTTGTTTTTAACTTTCAATTTGACCCATTTTCAACTTCCATTTCTTCATGGTTTGCTCGATTTATACATTTAGTTCAGACAATCTAATCGAACACTTCATTATCGTGGTTGCAAGATGCTAAATGTTATTGTTAGTATTTAATTGTTTTTTGACAGAGTAAAAAGTAAACAATATGGCAGACGGTTCGGATTATGACATTATCCCAAACTAAAAAGGAAAAACTGAGATATGGAAACTGTTTTGCAATGTGTTTTTTATAGTGATAATAATTGAATGACTTAAATTGTCTTTTCTGCAGTAATGAACAATTTTCATATCTGTAATCATTGTATTTAGATAACTAAGCACTGAATGCATCTTTCACTCAAATATTTAGCATTGTTCATGTATCTTAAAATCTAATCATTGAACCTTTTAGCTTGCTAATCTTCGGAAATTATTATTCAATATTCAAAGTACTCCAATCTTTAAAAAAAAATATTTTGGCCCATGATTGCTTACAGTACTTCAAAATCTTTTACAGTAAAATTGATTCATTTTTTAAAGTTTATTTGAAATGGAGCAGTATCATGTTATACGTAGTAAGTAAAATGACATTAGATTATTCTACTCATAGAATTTTTTTGGTAATTTAGATTATTTTTAGTCATTTTTTTATTTCAAATATTATTTTGTTGCATGCACTTGCATCTGTTTCTAAATTTCACATGTGAAATATGTTTTCACTTGAATAACAAGGGTGCCATAGTCACAAAATACGCCCGTTTACGAAAAAGCTTTAGATGGAGATGGGGGCATTATGGATAAGTTTTATCTAGCTAGCAAGTTTTTATTCTTGGCACTGTGTTGTTAAATGAACCTTAAAACAAATCAATAGGGAAGATATGCACAAAATGTGTGACCTTGACCTTGGTCGCAGGGACCTGAATTTTATGCACGGCACTCAGCCTCACAATAATGAACATTTGTGCCAAATTATATTGAAATCCCTCTATGCATGTAGAAGTTTTGCTCCAGACAAGTGTTTTTCTATGAGCTCTAACTGTGACCTTCACCTTTGACCTAGAGACTTGGTTTATGTGCAGGGCACTACGTCTCATGGTGGTGAACAATTGTATAAAAGTAACATTAAAATTCCTCCATGCATGTAGAAAATATGCTCCGGACAACATCTGGATATTTAATCATCTCCAGTGACCTTGACCTTGCAAATATTAACCTAAATTAAATGTGTAACACCTGTAGTCATGATAGTTACCATTTGTGCTACAATCCATCAATAAATGATGACTAAATGGTCCCTATAGCCATCTTCAAATTTTTATCTGAACTTTGACCTCTATGTGTAACCTTGACTTTGGTCGCAGGGATCTGAATTTTGCATGCGACACTCAGCCTCACAATGCTGAACATTTGTGCCAAGTTATATTGAAAACCCCCTATGAATGTAGAAATTTTGCTCCGGACAAGCGTTTTTCAATGAGCTCTAAGTGTGACCTTGACCTTTGACCTGGAGACCTGGATCATGCATGGAGCAATACATATCATGGTGGTGAACATTTCCATAAAGTATTATAAAAATTCTTCCATACATGTAGGAGATATGCTCCAGACAAAATCTGGATATTTCACCATCTTTAGTGACCTTGACCTTGCATATATTGACCTAAAGTACATGTGTCACAGCCGTAGTCATTATAATGACCATTTGTGTTACAATCCTCAATAAATGATGATTAAATCGTCCCTATACACATCTTCATATTTTTATCTTTTTTTAAACGGGCGTATAAAAAGTACATGTAATTTAATAACTAAAAAATTCTGATTTAAGATTTTATTCTAGGGAAATACATTTCATTACAATTCTTAATCTTTGAATGAGCTGAACTGATATTTACTTGAAAATTAAAATATAATTAAATTTCTATGAGAGAGTATTTACATTTGATAAGGTAATTACTGTATGATCTTTATGAACAAATACCAAGTCTACAGAACACCATAGTTATCACAGTTAAGAATCTTGACCAATGAATGAAACATGTGTAAATAAATGTTACATTCTTTAGAACATACTCAAGTCCAAGAAAGAGGATTATTTCATGCCCTTTGATTAAATTCTATTTTTAGAATTGAAAGTGAAAATAGATCAAGGGGAGTAATTGTTTAAGTCATTTATGAACAAAGTAATAACTTTGTTGTCTCCCTTTGATTAAATTCTATTTACAAAATCTGGATATTTCATCATCTTTAGTGACCTTGACCTTGTATATATTGACCTAAATTATATGTATCACAGCCATAGTCTTGATAATGACCATTTGTGTTACAATCCCTCAATAAATGATGACTAAATGGTCCATATACACATCTTCATATTTTTATCTGAACTTTGACCTCTATGTGTGACCTTGACCTTGGCCGCAAGGACCTGAATCTTGCACGCGACACTCCGCCTCACAATGGTGAACATTTGTGCCAAGTAATATTGAAATCCCTCCATACATGTGGAAGTTTTGCTCCGGACAAGCATTTTTTCAATGAGCTCTAAGTGTGACCTTGACCTTTGACCTAGAGACCTGGTTCATGTGCGCGACACTGCTCCTCATAGTGGTGAACATTTATATGAAGTTTCATTAAAATCCTCCATACATGTAGGAGATATGCTCCGGACAAAATTGGACGCCGCCCGCCCGCCCGACCGCCAGGGGCGTTCCCATAATACGTCCCGTTTTACAAACGGGCGTATAAAAAGTTAAAAAACTTAAAAGAAGGCAAATATCTTTTTTATGCTTCTTTCAGCTTGAAGTAATATATCATGATAAGCTACTGAGGTATTGTGACAGCCTTAGCCAGCTGTCTTTGTATAAAAACTAAATTAAAATATAAGCCAGTGATCTGATACCATCAACCGAAATTTTCACTAAATATACAGTATTTATCAAGGACAACAGTACTACCACCATACTTGTGCATTGACAGGGGCCACACGAATTTCAAGTCTGAATACTTGATGCATAGTTTTGTGCCAGATCTTTGAACTCTGTAATGCAAAGTGTGTGTGTCAACATCTATTATGTCCAACTTCTCTCTATAATGAAAACTTTTTCTTCAGAAACTACCAACAGGTTTTCAACAATACCAAAGTCTGGAAGGTTTTCAACATAATCTATCACAAGTACACATCCCGGTTTGTAAATATGGCCTTTGATTTCTATTTCAGCCGCACTAAAAATGCAATTCTGATGTAAATTTGAACCCACAAGGAAGTTCTGAACTTCAAAACTCTGTAGGTCCAATCTTGAGGCTTTCAATTTTGAGGTGTTATCCCCACTATATAAGAAGTTGTCTGCAGGATGGCCATTTGTGCCCAATTGTCTCCAGCACATCCAGAGCTGATGTTTCATTGACAAGCTTAGCGCAATGTTTTTAAAACATTTCCATTTGATCTTTTTTGAAGAATAAATGCTTACCTTCAAATCGCATGACCCACTGATTGCGCCCTGGGCCAAACCTCAATATCTGTTGGGAATGTGAACCAAATAGTGGAATTTAGGTGTCAAGGGCGATTTCGGGTAATCCTTTTTGAATTCACAATGATGTGTATAAATGAGCTGCTCCAATTCTGCAGCAGTATCTTCAGATGCATATGGGCTAGTTGACAACAGAGTTATCTGAACAATCCTGAGAAAATTTTTCCATTTGCTGTTTTCTGTTGGTACCTTCTTACCTATCACTATCGGTAATATGCAACACAGTATCAACAAAGAGGCAGATGTCTGTTTTAGCTTTCCATTCAAAAGGTCATCACTTTTTATCTTCTCTGGTTTATTTTTTTCTTCCAGGTAAGTGTAACTAAATCCACCCAAGGCATTATTCAAAAAGGCCAAGGTGAAATATTTTTCAACTGCAATAAAATTGTACAGTATGAGGCAAACTTCTTTCGAAAGAAGACCCTCAGTTAAAATATGCATGGGATCCTGAACAAGACAAGCTGCTAAGTCAATGCCGTGTATATCCAGTAAAGGACTCCTACCATTTATTCCCCATGTCTTGCTCCAATATTTGGCAGCCATTGTAGTCATTTGGGTTAAAAGATTAAGCCGTTCCAAATGCTGATCTGTGGTTCTCTTCTGGAAGTCAGCATCAAGAAATTTTAACTTCATTTCATTTCGCGAAGTATTACATGTCCTACATACTTTATTAGATAATCCAACCCCTTCTTTAAACCCACCTAAATATTGAGCAGCAGGTGTATCTGCAGGAGCAATAATTAAACCACCCCAAACTGTCACATTTCTGTCATTTACTGAGAAATCAATACCAGTGGTATTCAACCTATTCATTGTTTCAACAAAATCATGAAGAATTTTCCCTAACCCAAATTCCTTTACATCCTGACTTTTCACTACTGCAAGCAACTGAATAGCCTCATATTTTGATCGAAACTCTGGCGGAATATTTGCAAGTGTAAAGTATATCATGGTAACCTTATGTTTTTTTGTATGACTTCCAATTGGATTAACAATTTCAATATCATCCATGTACAGAACAAGCTGCAAAAATATTCCGTTGACAACTCTATTTCTGACTAAATCTTTCATGTACGATGCATCACAGAAATCTCGCATAATGCCATCATTGCTTCAATGGGACGTAGTTAGCCAGTACCACACCTGGGGCATTGATATCAATTTTTCTAAATTTTTCTGAAATGGTACAATATATCCGTAAGTCTTTAAACGCCGAATATTTCCTCTCACTTGATGCAACTTCTCACCCATTAGAACAGGTACACTTCTAATTAAACCGCAGTGGTCCTCTAAAAATTTATAATGCATGAGTTTGCTAGAGATCTCAATTAGATTATTTGTGACAGCCAAGTCTTTAACAAAACTAGCATCATGCCCACGATTTGTCAGGGCTGTTTCAACCTTTTTTCTAAATGTTAAAAGGTGACTAGACACAAGATCTCGTGCATTTTCTACTACTGTCTGTAAACCCCTCTCAGAAATACAATGATCAGCATGCAATGACAAAAGGAATTTTTGATCGATGTATACTTGATCACTAATGCCTTCCTCATTTTCTATAATGTTGGTATTTTCCAGTTCATTATCTGATTCAGTATGGTTATAATCTATTTCCACACGCTCTTCAAAATTTATTTCTCTGTGTCTTCGAAGCATGTGCATTTTGTAACCATTCCAACTTTTTGTCGAGTACTGACAGTCTTCAATGCAACAATTAACAATGAAGTTGGCATTATTCCTGTGGTACCGGACCAGATGAACTGTAAATCTTTGTTGGTCTTCAAAACAGAAATTACACATTGAACAAAACATTATTTGATAAAGCTTTCTAAGTATAATTACCAATTAGGGAATCAATATAATTTTGGAATCATAATTTTGTGCTGGTCTTGGTGACCAAAGCATTGAATTAAATGTTGTTAATGATCCCCATTATATGTGTTCTACATCTTAAAATAAATAAGTTCCTTTATGAGATCTACATGAACAGATATGTAGTTAGAAAAAGTCTGACATTATGCACAGCATAATCTGCTGTTTAGAATCCCTAAAATATCACTGATATAATACGGGGAAGTCAAAGACTGGGCCCACGAAGCAACTCCGGGCTTTGGCTTGCCCGGCTATAGACTACATGTGTATATTTAAAAGAAAATCAAATAAATAACAATTAAAAAATATATAGATCTATAGAATTCTATACCTATCAATGAAATTTTCAGTGTCAGTTCTAGCCGGGCGTTGCCATTTACAATGAAACTCAATGATAATAGGAGGGGTATTCTGATAACGGAACAAATCTCAACTTTTTCAGATCAATAATAATCGCCCAGTGTTATGAGTGAAAACGGAAGTGGTGCATGTAATACCCAATGACACCTTTAAAACGGAAAGAATGAAAGCATATTTTTTAACGACTTCCCCGTTTATAGGCTTTGCCTTATTTCAAATTATTCTCTTGCATGAATGGTACAGAGCATGTCCATATTTGTTAATTAATTAAGCCTGTAACTGCCTAAACATTTTGATTTTAGAGCAATAATCCAATATGTTACAAAAGCTTATTTAGATCCACTTTCTAAAAAAAAAAAAAAAAAAAAAAAATATCTTGATAGCCCGGGGTTCTATGATATCACGGTACTTAACGTTTATCGGAAAATATTTAAA